GGAGGTAGAAGGGCAGAGTTGGGAGGAGGGAGACTCAGAGAAGCACAATAGGTAGGAGATGAGAAACAAGCCATGAGCCATGTGGCAGCCCATAAATGAATAGAAATGGGTTAAGTTACAAGAGCTAGTTAGAAACAAGCCTCAGCTTGTTTCTATTCCTATTTCCCCTTTTTTCTTTTCAGAATAAGATCCCTGAGTCTAATCTCCTTTGCTTAATTTCTACCCTTATTATGAGCAATAACTTGTAACCACTCCCCAAATGATAGTAAATATCCATAATCCACTGAACAAACAAAACCATCCACCCCACCTCTTGTGAATGTGGGCATCATGTTTTCTAGAGTGCTTCCTGTTGTCTGGGAGCGATGACATCTTTAGAAAACACCGAGAAAGCCAGGCTTTGGCGGTGCATGCTTTTAACCTCAGCACTTGGGAGGCAGAGGCAGACGGATCTCTGTGAGTTCGAGACCAGTCTGGTCTACAAGAGCTAGTTCCAGGATAGCCTCCAAAGCCTCAGAGAAACCCTGTCTCAAAAAAGAAAACACTGAGAAAAGTAAGATAATGGTCAAGTCCTGGGAGAGCTTGCAGTTGTCTAGTCTTGGTGTGATAGGAAAATGTAGGGTTTATCTGAAGTCTTGCTGTAGTAATCTATGTGGCTCAACCATCTCAGCCAGCAGCCTTGAAGCTGTTCTGTATGCAGAACTCTGAGGAAACTACAGCAGAGGCATTCTTCGAGGCTAGTGTAGACAGAGTTCCTGTTCTGCCTGGTGCCACAGTCATTTAGCCCCAAATAAACACACAGAAGCTTAGATTAATTATAAACTGTTTGGCTGATGGCTCAGGCTTCTTATTGGCTAGCTCTCTCTTAATTATTAACCCATTTCTATTAAACTAAGTATTTCCACATGGCCTTGGCTTACCAGAGAATGCCCGGACCTGTTACTCCTTTGGCTGCTACATGGTGTCTTTCTCAGCTTCTCTCAGCCTTCCTTTTCCCAGAATTCTCCTAGTCTGGTAGCCCTGCCTATACTTCCTGTCTACTGGCCAATCAGTGTTTTATTCACCAACAAATAAGCAAAACATATATACAGAAGGACATTCCCTCCTCAGGCTAGATCACCTGGACCACTCATTTTCATTGATGTCTGGTCCCCTTGCTCTGAAAACACAAAAACTTTCAAAGGCAGCATACATATCTGCATTAACACAATTATGGAATGTGCAGTGTGAATAAGTTAAAGATGATTTTTTTCTGTTTGAACAGGTAAAAAGCATCTGCCAACATTCTAAGTTCATTTGTACTATATAATTAAATTGTGAAATAGATGCTATCCATGCCATATGAAAGGATGTCATGAGGACTATGTAGCCAACAAGATTTATCATGTCTCATCTCATCTCTGAGCTGTTCCCATGTCAAAGGATTAGCGTATACATCCCCTGTCCCGTCCCGTAGTCTTTTTTGGTTCTTCCCACAGGTCTGTAGCCAAGATCCTCAGGAGGTCTCCCCCAGTCAAATCTGATCTATTAACTTGGAAGGAATACACAGCCTTTTGTTTTCCATGGAAGCAAAAGCATAACCTCTTCCCCAATAGAATACATTTTTAAATACCATTTCAAAATTCAGGCATTTCTAAAGTATAAAGGTTGGTTTAATTCAGCATTCCGTTCTACAACCCAATGTCTCTCAGCAATTGTTGTCTGTTCATCAGCATTCAAAAAATTCAGAATTAACAAAGCACCATATAAGGTCTAAACGTCCTGTGTTTTATTCCCCATCCTTACATGGCTTATTTTTTTATTTTACTTCTCTTTTGGTTTATTTTTAAACTGTTTATTTCTTACGACCATCTATATTCTTAAGCCTACCCACATTGTTAAACATACTGTAACCCGTTTAGAGTTTTTTTCCCATCTGAACCTGCTTTACTGTGTATCTGTAACCTTTTCTGTCTGCATGAACAAAATGTAAACTGCCACACAGCTTAGGCAGCTCAGGCCTGCAAGCAGCTCACGCCTGCAGGCAGTGGCCGGGAGATGTGTCTCTGTACAGTGGTTCACATAAGAGACTGCTGGACTAAGACGCCAAGTTTGCCTCCATTTTTGTGTTTGGAAACTTTTTTTTTTTTAAGTTTTCTCAGGTCTTATGTGGAAATACTTGCCCAGACATTGGATACCATATATAGTTAGTCTTTCTCTGTCCCGCCTGTCAGCTCCCAAATAATCACACAGAGATTTATTATTAATTATGGAAGCTCAGCAAATAGCTTAGGCTTGTTTCTAAGCAGCTCTTATAACTTAAATTAGCCCATTAATTTATTAATTCACATGCTGCCACGTGGCTCATGGCTTGTCACCTCATCTCCTACAGGTCGTGTTTCCCATGCGTCTCCTCAAGGCTCTGCTCTTCTTGCCAGTGTCCTCTGAGCCTGGAAATCCTGCCTAACTATTAGCTGTTCACCTTTTTATTAAACCAATCAGAGTGACATTATCTTCAAAGTGTATAAACAGATTATCTGACTGACAACATTATGTAGCCTAAAATGACCTTGAGTTCTTGCTCCTCTGGCCTGTGTTTCCTAAGGCTGGGATTACAGAGGCCACTGTAGGGACGTGATGATGGCTCTGTTATTGCCTGCCAGAAATGAACTCCTCTACTGAGGTCATTGTAGTGCTCAGACCTGAGTAATAAGTTACACAGACCTGAGTAATAATTTACACAGGTCCCCTGTGTTGGCTATAGAAACTTAATATTAACCTTTTTGCTCTGGAATGCCTGGGAGAGCCTAGTGGCCTGCAGGCTAGATAAGGACAGGGTAATGGGCTGTGAGGTGTTGACAGCTGTCTTTGCTTCTTTGGTTTATTGCTATGGGAAAGGGATGAAATGGTCTTTTTATCAGTATATATCAGGAAAGAAGAAACAACTAAGCAAAGGAATACAGTTTCCTGCCCAGTATGGACTCCGTGGACAGTTGTAATACACACCTTCCTGGTGTCTGCCTTTAAAACCCACCTTACCCTCTTCATCTTGGCATGCTGTTTGGATCTAAGGCTGCTGTCCTTCTGCTAGCAATAAGAGTAATTTAATTTAATTTAAATTTGAATAGAGTCCAAGTCTTTGGTCTTTCCCAGTGGATTTGAACAAACACCACACCACACCACACCTAGTTCATCTCCTTTCTTTCATCAGGGGAACTTAACTCAGGGCCTCAAGTGTGTTCTACCTGCAAGTTGTTCCTGGTCTCTCTGGGTCATGAACCTTCTCTTTCTGTAAAGGTGTGAGTGCCAGGAAATCTCTGACTCACGGAATCCTTCCTTTCCTTCACTCAGCAGCTTTCTGTCTTGCAAGCATTTCTCTGCAGGTCTGCTTTCAAGGCCTGTGATGGCTAAGGCATCCCACTTGGTACCCACCAGCCTCTGGCTATGACTCCAGTCCCTGTAAATTCCCAGTAATCCTGACCAGTGACCCCCCAAAAAATGTGCTGTCCTGACTGTCTACTTTTTATGATATGACTACTTGCCTTTTCTCTTTGCTTCTGTAACTCACTTACACAGATACCCAAAGATTGTTTTGAGTTGTCCTAACCACTTAGTTTGCCAGAACAGAACAGTTTTGCTTGTTTGCATAGATGTTGAAAGTCTTCTGTGGTTTTCCCCTTTAACAGTCCTTCCCCAGCCTGTGGTGGCACACACTTTTAATCCCCAGCATTCGGGAGGCAGAGACAGGCAGATCTCTGTGAGTTCAAGGCCAGCCTGGTCTACAGAATGAGTTCCAGGACAGCTAAGGCTACACAGAGAAACCTTGTTGTCTCAAAAAAAATTTTTTAAACCTTATTCTCCAGCAAGTTTAAGGTTAGCTTGAGCTACATGGGACCCTGCCTCAGAAAACAAAAACAATTGCCTGGAGAGTTGGCTCAGAAGTTCAGAGCCACGGCTGCTTTTTTAAAAGACCCAGCACATACACATGGCCACTCACTCCAGTTCTAGGGGCCAGATTCTATCTGGCCTAGAGACACACGTTGCACAGTCATACATGCTGGCAAAATATCCATACATGTAAGTTAAAATAGTTTTAAAACATAAATCAATCAGTAAATGAAGAGCATGACTGTGGGTGCTGTGGAGGAGATGTCTGTCTGACATAGTAGCCATGGTGATCCCCATTTCACCACTCCCAGGGCTTTGTGACCCCAAAGTGAAATATCTGTAGAAAAAGAAAGCCAGGGATTCTTGTCAGGGAATGCCAAGAGGAAGGGGACAGGGAAGAGCCCTGGGTTTAGTCACTTCCTCTCTCTGTGGCTCAGTTCTTCAGTCTGTGGGCTGCGGTGAGAGACACGTCTGTGTGAAGATGCTTTGTAAGCTGAGAAGTTTCCAGAAGACTCGGAGGCAGTGGGAACCTGGTGGAAAGGGCCTGACTTCTTAAAAAAAAAATTAGCCCCAGGGCAGTGACTGTAACAGAGCTCCATCTGGGAATGTGAGTCAGCCACCAGAGTCCTCAGAGAAAGCCTAAACCATCACAAAGCGGTTGCTGTTGTCACCAATTTTATTTTGTTTTATGGAGATGGGAACCTTGCTGTGTAGCCCAGGGTAGCTCAGACTTACAGCAACCCCTCTGCTTTAGCCTCCCAAGTGTCAAGATTAGCATGTGCCACCATGTACCTCTCTCTTTCTTCTTCTTCTTCTTCTTCTTCTTCTTCTTCTTCTTCTTCTTCTTCTTCTTCTTCTTCTTCTTCTTCTTCTTCTTCTTCTTAATCTAAGACAGTGTTTCTCTGTGTAGCTTTGGCTGTCTTGGAACTTGATCTGTAGAGCAGGCTGGCCTGGAACTCACAGAGATCTGTCTGCCTCTGACTCCTCAGTGTTAGGATTAAAGGTGTGTGCCACCATCACCACCACTGCCTGATTTATCTATTTCATTTTTAGAGATCAGAAAATGAGGCTCAGAGTGATCAAAACCCGGCAACAATAATATTTTTACATGTTTATGTATTTTGTGTATATAGGTGTTTTGTCTGCCTGTATGTCTGCATACCAGAAGAATAAATCAGAATCCATGAGCCCACAGCTATAGACTGCTATGAGTCATCATGCAGGGAATTGAACTCAGGACCTTTGGAACAGCATCTAGTGCTCCTAACCACTGAGCCATCCCTCCCTCCAGACCATTAGTAAGAATTATTAACTAAAAATAAATGGTAGCTGTAAATCAAGACCCTGTTTTTCTTTTTTATCTCCTGTCTCTTAAAGAAAACAAAGCTGCTTTGTGTGTGAATGCTGACCCTGGCTCCTCAGTGCTGGTCATACACACCTTGCACAGCCCATTACATGTTAGCACCTCCTTTAACCGTTAGGCCCCCGAAAGAAGAAAAATCCCCAAGGAGCCAAGTCATCTCCTCAAGGTGCCACAGCCCAAACCTGTGGGCCTGCCGTCTTCCCCTCCGCCTGGGTCACACTCCGGCATGAGGACAAGCGGGATGTGCCTGCCCTTCAGTCAAGCCCGACCCAGGGCCGCGGGTTCTGGATGATTGACCTCTCTAGAGTGTGCGCGCGCGCTCTGTTACATCCTAGGGAATTCGTGGGCTCCCTTTAAGCTGTAGTCTAATCCTAACTACTGGGCACCTAATCGATGAGGGACACTTCTAGGACGGTTGCTGAAGTCTAGGAATAGTGTTCAGTCTGCAACCAAAAGACAAGCCATGGGGCTGAAAGAGTTCATTTACTGGGAAGAAAAAACCCACACTTGCTTCCACGCGCTCTGTCTAATACAAAGCAGCCTGCTCACAAGCCCTCGTTTCTGGATTAATCTAATCAGCTTCTCTCCCACACCCAGGGTACTGCGGGGGAAATCTCATAATTTTGCCGGTTTCTGCCAAATCACATTTATGGTTCCCAGGCCCAGTGCAGTCCGTAGGCTACTTGGCAGCTCTTTCCTGAGCAGAGCGCACACACCCAGTCCCCACAGCGGCCACCTCAAAGCCCTTCTGAGCGATCAATTAAGTTTAAAGGTTTTTCTGTCGTTGAAGAGGCACAGTGGCACACACTCTAATTGCCACCTTCAGTATTTTTTTCCCGATCCCGCCCACCTGTTTTTTGTTTGCTCAGAGAGGGTCTCCTGTAGCCCAGGCGAATTTCAAAGTTGTTATGTGGACCAGGCTGACCTTGACTTTCCCATTCTCCTGGCCTTCTTTAACCAAGTGCTGGGGTACTGCCTTGTTTCAGCACACTTGATTTGTTTTTCCTTTTCTTTGTCTTTTTTTTTTATGCATTTTTTTTAAAAGAGCTGGGTGGTGGTGACCTTTAATCCCAGCACTCAAAAGGCAGAGACATGTAGAGATCTGGGTTCGAGACCAGCCTGGGCTACATAGAGGAACCCTGCCTTGAGAAAATAAATGAATGAATAAATGAATAAATAAATAAATCATAAAAAATAAAAAAATATTTTGGGAGGGTTTCAACTTGCACTGCAGACTTGAACTGATAATCCTCCTGCCTCTGCTTCTCAAGCTGGGATTACCATACCCACCAGATAGATGATCACCTTTATCTTTTCATTCCTGGGGTCTCTTACCTGACACTGGGGGTGGGGGGGATGGGAGGTGTTAGGACATTACACTCGATGCTGCAGACATTTGAAGAAGTAAAACTGATGCACTAAAGGACTTACTAATAAACCTGCCCAGGAAATATTAAGTTACCTGAGGTAGAATTTAGCTAAAGGAAGGCTGAATCCAGTGACTGGAGTCAAGCAGCACTCATTAGAAAGTGTATTAACAGAAAATTTGTACCATCCTCAAATCACAGAGCATGCCTCTCCAGAGCAGCTCGGGGAAGTACCTCAAGGTCACAACCAAGTCCTGGCTGCCATCAAATCCTCTCACTCTGATCAGGAAAGCATAGCTCTACAGATGGGCAAGATGGACCTTGGTAACAACTATTCAACAAGAACAACATTGGTGCGGCTAGAGAGAAGGCTCAGTGGCTAACAGCACTGACTGCTCTTCCAGAGGATGTGCGATCAATTCCCAGCACCCACATGGCAGCTCACAGCTGTCTGTAACTCCAGTTTCCAGTTGCAGGGATCTGACACCCTCACGCACAGAAAACAATGCACATAAAAAAAAAAAAAAAAAGAGTACTGGCAATATATTTGCTGTGTCAATCTCTCCCACTGCTCCAGTGTCCAGACTTGCAGTCTCCCTCTCAGGGACTTTAAATTGTTCAAATTGTAGCCTGGGGCCAGGACCAGAGCGAGGTTTAAGGGTGACAGTTTATCTGGAATGCAAAAAGCCCATGGTGTGTAGGTGGGGATTTCTGTCCCACCAGCCAGCTCCCAAATAATCACACAGAGACTTACTATTAATTATAAATGCTCAGCCGATGGACTGGAGAGATGGCTCAGAGGTTAAGAACACCGACTGCTCTTCCAGAGGTCCTGAGTTCAATTCCCAACAACCACATGGTGGCTCACAACCATCCGTTATGCGACCTGGTGCCCTCTTCTGATGTTCAGATATACATGGAAGCAGAATGTTGTATAGATAATAAATAAATAAATAAATAAATATTTAAAAGAATAAAAATAAATGCACGGCTGATAGCTTAGGCTTATTACTAGTTAACTCTTACATTAAATTAACCCACATAGTTATTGTTGAGATTTTGTAAAAGTTTAAAAATTACAAAAATAAAGCCTCGAGATGGGGGCCGGCGCCAGCGCGATGGAACACGAACCATGGAGTACATTAACCATAGAGCTTATTACAGGTAGGGGTGGGGGAAGAGGAAAGAGGGAGAGAGAGAGACAGAGACAGAGACAGAGACAGAGAGGTAAGAAGAATTAGTGAAACAAAGATAGCAGAGGAGAATGATGCGAGCTAAAAAAAAAAAAAAAAGGCGGGGGAGCTCGCACACACGCAGTCCTTATGCAAGTCCATACTGTGTAACAAGTGACGTGGCGATGACGTGGCACGTCACTGTGCATGCCCCACCCGTTGTCGGGGCGGGGTCAGCCTGGTGTTTTAGTCCCAACAGTTACTATCTACACTCTACCATGCGGCAGTACCTTTTTTCAACATCTCCTGCTTCCTCTGCGTCTGGTTGCCGCCCCCCCCCCCGCCCCCGCCTTTCTTTATGTCCGAAAGTCCCAACTAACCTCTACCTGCCTAGCTATTGACCATTTAGCTCTTTATTTTATTAAACAAATCAGAATGCACCTTGGCAAAGACACGTCTTCATAATGCAGAAAAAGATTATTCAATAACAATGGTGTGTTTAAGTTAGTGAAGCCTTCTATTCCTAGCCAGCTCCTCTTTGAGCCAGAGCTGGACGCAATAACTTCTTCCTTTATTAACCCCTAAGTGGACCAGGTGATTTCTCTGTAAAGAGGCAGGTTAATCCTGTAACAGTCTACCCTTCTAGAACCAGAGACAAAGACAGCTACTCAACAAACAATTATAGTTATAATGAGGAGAACTTGAGGGAAAATAGAGAGGACTCTAGAATGCTGTGATATGCCGGCTTCAAGGATGTCTCCTTGAGAAAATGACATTAAAATGGACTCTTGAGAGACATGATAGCTATAAATGCTTGGAGCACCTCCTGGGAAGAGAAAGCTTAAGGATAAATGTGTCTCCCACACCAAGACAGCCTAAGGATTCTTGCCATTTCCATAGCACTGGAAGAGAGTTCCAGGATATAAATACCGACTCAAGAATACCCAGAGCCAGTTTTTGAGATAGGACCCACAAGGTAGAAGAAAACAAGACTCTGAAAAGCTATCCTCAGACCGCCCCCCCCCCACATATACGTGTTTACAAAATAAGTAAATAAAGATGAAATAAAAAAAATATCCAAGGCCATCAATTGACAACTGTAATTTCTTTTTCTTTTGGTTTTTCAAGACAGGTTTCTTTGTGCAGCCCTGGCTGTCCTGGAACTACTTTGTAGACCAGGCTGGCCTGGAACTCAAGAGAGATCCATCTGCCTCTACCTCCTGAGTGCTGGGATTAAAGGTGCATACCACCACCACCTGGCTTCTTCTTCATAAAAAAAAAAAAAAAAATTCATTACTTTATGGGTGTTCTGCCTTCATGTATGTCTATGCACCATGTATGTGCTGGCTTCTGTCACCCATCAAATTTAACCCCAGGCTAGGTGGTGGTGGCACACGACTTTAATCCCAGCACTCGGGAGGCAGGGGCAGGTGGATCTCTGTGAGTTCGAGGACA